GTCGAGATTCGGGGTGACCGAGGAGTTGGTGAGGCTATTGAGACCAGCAAGCTGTTGGCTGAGACAGCGGTAACAGTCGTTGCTGCACGTAAGAGAGGATGAGGTTAATGCCGATGTGGGAACAGGGGGAGCTTGTGTGTGAAAGTGCATTAGTGTTTCTTCTGGGCCAAATATGTCGGACACAGCTGCCACCGCCGCAGCCGCGCTACTTTCAGACAAATTTATGGTAGAAGTCGAAGGGCGTTTAGTCGTGCCAGTAAGAGCTTCACTTCCAAACTGCTCGTGTTGGTCCACTGGGGTATTGTAATGACTTGGTTCGGTAGCCCAGTTCTGGAGATCCTCAAACGTCGTCTCGGTCAAACTGATGGCGGCGAGGGGCTCCGAAGACGCCGGGTCAGTCGTGAACAGTGTGTCCATCACCACGTCAAACTGATGATTGCTGTCTATCACTGGCTGATGCAAGGCGCTAGGGATCACTATCGTGCTAGCCCCGTCATCGTTAACTCCGGACATGGCGTCGAGGAAGGCATCTGTGAAGGGCGAAATTGTCTCGTGGAAAGCTGGGGTTGGAACTTTCTGCGAAGGGATAGACGCTGCTGGTCCACCATGGCTTTGTCCCATATTCGCAACCTCGGCTTCGTGATCTTCATCTTGGCCGCCTCCTCTCGCACCTGCGACACCCGAAGATGTTACTGCTGACGATGGCGGAGGCGGCGGCGGTTGCCGTTGCTGACGGGGTTGCTGCTGCTGTTGTTGAGTCGAGTCCTCTAGCTGATTGGAGGAATGCTTGCGAGGCCGGCCGAGCCGGCGGATCGGAGAGTACACGCACGGGAGACCGAGTCGGGCACACCGTCGACACGCCGGCTTTTCCTGAGAGCACTTGAGCTTCGTATCCTGACAGCGGTCACAAGAGTTGCGGAGCCTAAATTGCCTGTTCGGGTGGTTCCCCGCCTGGTCTCGGCTTCCCTGGCCCTCTGTGACAGGGGCTGGACTAGCTTCCCCAGGCTGTATTTCGGTATTGCTCATGTCGTATACGAGGTTATCAAGGTAATATGTATCTTCGACTGGTTGAAGTTGCCCGTTTCCACCCTTTGTTGGATGGTCCGGCATCCGTCCCAACCATAGGAAGGCGAGCTAAAACTCGTCACCCAAATATGAGGCAGACAAGATTTGGCACCTTCACTTTTATATCTGCTAATCATCCCACAGGCATTCACTAGAATACTAGGCAGCCGGACTCCTTCGTCTGCAGAGATGTGGCGCTGTGTAAGCGCTTTACTTGATGGAGGTACATCTTCTGGGCTTATGTCTGTTGATAGCGTGGTTCCTCCGTGGGCGCACATCACGCCGTGGACGCGCACCTTACGGAGTAGTCAGTCCAATTAGATGCAAGAGATCCAGCTTGTTCCACTTAAAGGATTTGCTCGTTGACCGAGATACAAGTCCGGCTTCCCGTCTCTCACACTCACAAATGTCTCCCTCATAGTTTTCCTAAAGAATGTGCACTTTCAATTTCTCATCCTAAGACGACAATGACTTGACGGAGGTAACCTAACCGGCATTACCCCGCGTATGGTTAAGAAATTCTCAAGTAGGTTGAGGGCTCCAGTCCGGCCCCCTGTCCGACCCTTTGACATCCAGCATGAAGACACCAGACCCCTGTCAATTCATGTACATGTAGGCACAATCCCACAATGCAACTCACAACTCTAGTGATACAACCCGAATTTGAAAACCATGAACGAAATGTTCGACGCAAGAAAATGCGCAGCCATGGAAGCACCAAGCAAGGTTCGACTGAATGCTTTGGACATGACATAGGGCGTGGGGGGTGGCTTTACGTCTGTCAGATCTAGCCTACATGATTCGGCTCGGCCGCGCCCGCCACGGGCGAGTTGATAAGTACTTTGGTCCAATCGGCCCATTACGCCGCGGTATCGCATAGAATACATGTAATATGCCCATCAGCCACTGACTCAAAAAAGGCAGTTGTCAAACAAGCATGACAGGCCCGGGTGGTTGATCGGGTCTTTTTCCACTGTCACGGATCGACGGATCACAAGTTCTTCCTTCTAAGACTACATCAATAGGCCCTCTTGTGAACAGAGTTTTGTTAGCAGAGTCAAGACTGAATTACACGGTTAGCTAGAGAGATCCAAGAGAGACAACATACATCTTCAGAATGGTGGCAAACAAGTCATTGATCTTCAAGAAGGTCCACGAGACACCCACGGTAGCGGGACAGGATATCGCTGTGGAGAGCAGAGACTTTGATCTTGACCAGGTAAGTATGCACACACGCAACGGATATCAGTCGTCTTTCATTGACAGCTTGGCCATTGGAGTACAATTATGGCGTTTTGCTAACACATTGATTTAGGAATTGCTGGGGGGTTCCATCTTGGTACAAGTTCTGTATGTCTCATTTGACCCGTACATGAAGGGTCGCATGGTTGAGAAGCCGGTTATGGGCCCTTACAAGCTCAATGAGCCCATCCCGAACACAGCCCTCGCCAAAATCCTTCAATCCAAAAACGAAGGATTCCCGCAAGGCGCCATAGTCAGGGGGGAATTCCCAATCAGCCAGTACGCCGTCGCCACCGCCGAGGACTTGCAAGCCGGATGGGCCCATCTGATCGAGAACCCTCTCAACTTACCGCTCGACACATTCCTTGCTGCCCTGGGGATGCCCGGACTCGCCGCCTACGCCTCTCTCTACGAGATAGGCAAGCCCAAAAAAGGCGAGACCTTATACGTCTCCGCTGCAGCCGGCGCCGTGGGCCACGTAGTTGGGCAGATCGCCAAGCGCGAGGGTCTACGTGTCATTGGCTCCGTTGGCGCCGACGAAAAGGTCGACTATCTCGTCCGTGAGCTCGGCTTCGACGCTGTCTTCAACTACAAGAAGGAGACAGTCGACGAGGGCCTCGCCCGTCTTGCACCTGACGGGATCGACATCTTTTACGACAACGTCGGCGGTGAGACGCTAGATGCGGCTCTACTGAAGATGAACCCGTATGGACGAATCATCGCCTGCGGAGCCATCAGTCAGTACACGCGTGTTCAAGGCCCTTACACGGGCTATGGAGTTACCAATATCTTCAACATCACCGTGAAGCGAGTCACCATGGCTGGTTACATCGTGACTGACCCCAACATTGGTCCCAAGTATGGCGCGGAGCATATGCAGAACGTTTCAAAGTGGATTCATGATGGTAGCTTCACGTCGAAGTCGACTGTCGTGGACGGCGTGGATCAAGCAGCCGATGGATTTGTGGGCATGTTTTATGGCAGGAACACAGGAAAGGCTGTTCTCAAGATCTAGAATACTGCCCTATGATATCGAATACAACTTGTGATTCTACTTGGTTGTGACACAACCTTCTGCTATGTTTTCAAAATGCTGTCGCGAGGAGTCCTAGTAATGCCTTTGCAACGCACGGTCTTGGACAGGTTCCTTGTGCTCATTTAGCTACAAATGAACGAAAGAAAGAATAAGGGAGCCTGCAATTGAGATGAGGTCAAGGGGTCTATCGAGAAAAGGATTCAGAAATGGGCGGTCGAGATAGCCCGTTTGACTTCGCTCTATGGCGACAGGGACTTTCTCGATTCGTCTAGGTGTGGTGGGAGTTCCAAGCCGCCGAATCCTTCAAATCCATCCTTCTGACTAGATAGCTGCCATCCCACCATTCAAAGTGCAAACCTTAAAGACACCCAAAAAGCCCCCGAAGAGGTAAGCATTTAAGTATCCGAAACTCCCAAGCACCCAGAATAATTGTTCAGTGGCAATCAGCAGCCAATAGTTGATCTGTATAATCCAACATGCCGTGCCGAATCCTTTGCCTCCATGGCATGGGCATCAACAGCCAGATATTTGCCTCGCAGACAGGTGAGTCATTTTCATGCTGTCTTATCTCGCGCTATCAGCACTACTGACTCAACTCACAGAATCCTTTCGGAGTTTGCTGCCATCGGACTACGACTTCACATTTGTCGATGGTCCGACCACTTGTAAGCCAGAGGCGGATATAGCCAAGGTGTATCCGGGCCCGTACCTTTGCTGGTATAGAACGCCGACTACTGAGTCGGTGACCGCGGCCCACCGTCACGTCAAGTCCATCATGGCTGAAAAGGGCCCTTTTGATGGAATCATGGGGTTCAGCCAGGTAGGTTTCACCGGGAGCGGTTCATCCTTCTCATATCGGGCTCGGGGTCTAACAAACTTGACCGCAAGGGCGCTGCAGTCGCGGTGTCGATGATCTTGCGCCACCAGCTTGAAACCTCGTCAATACCACCCCTCTTCAAGTTTGCCATTCTCATCGGCTCCCCTTTACCCTTCTCACACAGCCTGATGTATGGGATTGACACGCGGGATTACTTTGGCGTCTCTTGCAATGTGGACTGTAGCATTCTTGCTCGGTACAATCGTCCTAACAAGGTCCCTACGTATCTTATTACCCCAGACAGGTACCTCAAAGATGACGACGATGAGGACTTCCACAGAACCGAAGAGGCATGTCAACAGCCGACCGCAGCGATGTTCTATCAAATGTTCCATTCAACATCGGATGAAGTCAGAATGGACATTCCTACTGTTCACATATTTGGCCGGCGTGATCCGTGGTACCTTCATAGTAAAGATGTGCTAGAGCTGGCATGTGCTGAACGGGCTTCGGTGTTGGAGCATTGTTATGGCCATGAAGTTCCGCGACACTTGAGTGAAGAAATTTGCGACTTGATTGAGTCGGCGGTTGCCTTAGTGGAGGTTTAGTGAAAGAAATTGGAACTATTTCTAAGTCTACCTACTCCAGACTTAGAGTGTCGAGTCTCGCAGCGATCCTTGATCACTCATTGAATTCCAGAGGAAACATATGTAACTACCTTATTGAATGTACACCATTGTAACGACATGATAATCCGAATATTTTATTCATGTGTGAAACAAGATGATTGTCATTGAAACTATCATAAGAAATCTGTATTTACTCGTTTACTTAGTACCGTCAATTGGTCTCGCCATTGCTCGTTCCGTGCGCAACACCCACATACTCATCTACCTTTCCAGCCAAAACATTCTTGATAAAGTCCACCTGCATCTTAACCAGGTCTGGGAACTCTGGACCGCTGAGTACATTAAGATGTCCTTTGCCAACAGATACGTGCGCCTTTTTCGGGCCTGGAAACGTGCCGAACAGATCAAATTGCTGATCTGGGGGCGAGATCTGATCCAGCTCGGGAATGACCATGAGAACGGGCGTTTGGTACATGTACTTCATTATACCATGGGGCTGCCACATAATGAGTTTGTAGTACGACTGAAGCGTCGTTCTGTTCTCGTGGCGACTGGCGCCGTACTTTTTGGCGTTGACCATGTAATCAAACTCCTCCTTGTCGGCGCCAATACCCAGGCCGGCGGGGTTGACGCCGTCCTCGGTCAGCACAGGCAAAAAGACTGGCGGGTTGCCGGCGGCGCGGGACTCGCGGTCGGCCATGCTGCGTGCGAGAACGCGGGGGAACTTTTGCGGCGTGAGTTCAAAGTCCAGTAGTGGGCAGATGGAAACGACCATGCGTGCGCGCTTGTCGAGGGCGCCAGCACAGAGTGCGACGCAGCCGGCAAAGGACTGGCCCCAGAAGAAGATCTGCTCCGGATCGACTTCGGGAAGGCCGCGGAGGTAGGTCAGCGCATCTGAGTAATCTGAGACCTGCTTCATCGGGTCGATCTCGTTCCGGGGCTGACCATCGCTGAGGCCTAGGCTGCGTGGGTCGTAAATGAGTGCTGAAATTCCGGCAAGCTGGAACTGTTCGGCCACCTCTGGCACGAACATCTCCTTCACGCAGTTAAACTAGGCAGGGGCTGAATGTCAACCTGGGGAAAGCCTTCGAAAATCGATCAGGGAATTCCATCATGAGATTCTTACCCCGGGCGTAATGATGGCTGCAGGACCACGGCCAGGAGCGGGATAGAAGCAGCCCCTAAGGGTCAGCCCGTCCACGGTCTGGAATTCCACGTCGCGGAAGAAGGTACTCATTATTGCAGTTGAGACGCAGGATTCGACGGAAGAGAACTTGTTTGCTGGGGCTATCTAGTGACCGAGATGGCAAAATTCACGAATTACAAGCGCATTAGGCGTTCCTTATCAGACAGTTGACCTTGTAATGGGCGAGTTCAATGCAACAACTGAAAGGTCTACGGCGTAGGATAAACTGCCCGAAGTCTTCCACTTGCACCGGCCACTTTCAAGACCAACAGTGTTGATACCCAGCTCAAGAACCGGCTCACCCAATCAGCATGTCAGATTATTCCCTGTCAGAATATCCCCGAGTTGTGGGCATGCCATAGCAAGGCTGATGATTAGTGGCGTGCTATGGGCGGATGGGAGACCCATCCAACTGATGATGAGTGTCTGCCACGATGACCAAACATGGAAACCATCCGAGGCACTCCCGAACTCCATAAAATGTCAAAATACATGTAAGTCATCGGTGAATGTTTTTGAAACCATTATCGGAAGCACTGGTATCACTTCAGAACGGCCAGGACACTCTCAAGGCCCTCTCTTGTTCAAAGAGAAGTTCGTGACGTGGCTCTATTACCTTCTTTCTCGTTCCTGCTCCTTCGAGATTCAGTACATACCGACTGATTGCCCGCTTTGAATAACCAAGGAACCAGGATCTCACGACCATTGTCTATAGACTGTCGATGTTATCTACCTTACTAAAAGGCTTCTCTACCCTATTCCCTCTTCAAACAGCTAGGCCTAGCCCAGACCTAGACAACTGCAGTCAAGATGACGATCAACGACGGGAGAAACGGTGCGTACACGATTCCGAACAACAACTATCCGAGCAACGGTACCAACGGCGCCACTTACACCGATGGAACCAACGGGATCAACGATACCAACGGCTATAATGGCAGCAGCGTAAACGGCCCCACCAATGGCCCACCTCAAGCCCATGAGCCGATCGCCGTCATCGGCATGGGATGCCGTCTGCCGGGCGAAGTCGACAACCCGCACGCACTGACGCAGCTCCTGAAGCGCGGAGGCGTCGCCCGTAACGAGCCGCCCGAATCTCGCTTCAGCTTGGACGGCCACCATGACGGATCCAAGAAGCCCAAAACGATGAGGTCTCCGGGCGGCATGTTCCTAGAGAACATTGACCCACGTGAGTTCGACGCCGGCTTCTTCCAGGTTCCCCGGCTCGATGCCATCGCAATGGACCCGCAGCAGAGACAGCTCCTCGAGGTCGTATACGAGTGTCTGGAGAATTCAGGTGTGACGTTGCAAGAGCTGCAAGGGGCCCAGGTTGGGTGCTTCGTCGGATCATACGCCGTCGGTACGTTCTTTTCTCGTCTGATTTCGTTCAGGCCAGACCTTTGCCCTGGGTGCTATTATGGGATGAACCTTGGCTTACAGCAACACAAAATTTGCAGACTACGCCGACATGCAGGCCCGCGATCCCGAAGACCGCGCTCCTTCTGTCACAATTGGCGTTGGTCGGGCTATTCTAAGCAATAGGATCAGTCATTTTCTGAACATCAAGGGTCCCAGGTAAGCGTATCCATCCGTCTTACCCGGCGGATCCCCACGGATCCTGCAGCCACATCTGACACCTGTCTCGGTAGTATGACAATAGATACAGCCTGTTCGGGCAGCCTGGTAGCTCTTGATGTGGCATGTCGCTATCTACGTACCCGGGAGATGGACGGAGCAATTGTCGCCGGCTGCAACTTGTACCTGAGGTGAGCATTAGAACGAGTTTCCCTTCTCGGCCGTCGTCTTCTTAATCAGGAAACACTGTCTGACTCTGGAGGGGTGAGTCTAGCCCGGAACACAACATGGATGTTGGCCCAATGAAGGGAGCCTCGAGTTTATCTGGAAAATGCCACACCTTTGACGTCAAGGCGGACGGTTACATCAAGGGTGAGGCAGTCAACGCCGTAATGGTGAAACGCCTCTCGGACGCCCTCCGTGACGGTGACCCTATTCGCGCCGTGATACTCGGCACCGCTACTAATAGTGACGGCAACACTCCCGGTATCGCCAGCCCCAGCTCAGAGGCACAAGCGGCGGCCATCCGTTCGGCTTATGCTAACGCTGGAATCACGAATTTTAACGAAACCACGTATCTCGAGTGCCATGGCACTGGCACACAGGCAGGCGATCCGACCGAGGTCAGTGGTATCGCCTCAGTGTTTGCGCCGTCGCGTAGTCCCGATCAGCCCTTGATAATCGGCTCCGTGAGTTCATCCTCTCCACTGCTGGTAAAATGACACAAGTTGACCGCAACTAACACCTACCTAGATCAAGAGCAACATTGGTCACTCCGAGCCGGCAGCAGGCATCTCAGGCCTGATCAAGACCATCCTGTCTCTCGAGACTGGCACCATTTTCGGCAACCCTACCTTCGTGACTCCCAACCCCAAGATCGACTTTAAGGGCCAGAAGGTGTTTGCCACACGCACTAGCATGCCCTGGCCGACAGGGGCACGCAAGCGGGCGTCTGTAAACTCGTTCGGATATGGCGGTTCCAACGCTCACGTCGTCCTCGAGTCGGCAGATCAATATCTACAGAATAAACAGACCTCCTTCCACGTCTCTTCACACCTCGCTGAGGAGGCTGATCTCTTCGGTGACGACAATGATGCTTCCTCCACGGCATCAGTCGCAAAGAAGCCCCAGCTGCTTGTCTTCTCGGCCAATAACGAGTTTTCGCTCCGCGGCTACGTGAAGCTGCTGCGCAAGCACCTTTTGAACCCGAGTGTCAAAGCCGACTTGCGAGACCTGTCTTTCACACTCTCGAGCAAGCGCAGCGCGCACTTCAATCGGGGATTCTTGCTAGCGGATAAGGCGGTGATAGCCGAGGACTCTCTCGTCCTGGGGAAGAAGAGCCCGGAAGCTCCAAAGATCGGCTTTGTTTTCACCGGCCAGGGCGCTCAATGGTCGCAGATGGGAAAGGCTCTTGTCGATGCCTTCCCTACCGCCAGAGACTTGCTGAAGCATCTGGATACTGTCCTCAAGACCGCTCTTGTCCCTCCAACGTGGTCTTTGCTCGGTATTTGCTCCTCATCCCTGACGCATTCTTGATCCTAATTACTCACATCAATGCAGATGAACTGGTAGAGCCGCGCAGTCCTGGTCTCCTTCGCCAGCCCGAGTTTTCCCAGCCACTCTGCACAGCGCTTCAGCTCGCCATCCTGAGCGTGCTGGAAGTCTGGGGTATCGCTCCGCACAGCGTGGTCGGTCACTCATCGGGCGAAATCGCCGCTGCATATGCTGCGGGCTATCTGTCCAAGGAAGACGCGATTAAGGTCGCTTACTACCGCGGCCTAGCTGCCAAGCAGCTCGCCAACGTCGTAGATGGCACCAAGAACGTAGGCATGCTCGCGGTTGGGCTGGGCGCTGAAGCCGTAATGCCCTTCTTGGAACCCTACGCTGGCCTAGTGCACATTGCCTGCTTTAACAGCCCCAGCAGCGTCACCTTGTCTGGCAAGGTGGACAAGCTCGAGGAGGTCATGGCCTCCCTTGTAGCAGAATCGCATTTTGCCCGCCTGCTGCAGGTGAACCTGGCATACCACTCGCCTTTCATGCTGGAAGTGAGCAGTCTGTACGAGGCTCTGCTTCGCCAGGACTTTGGCGCGTGCAAGAAGGACAGGAAACATGACAACGTCCGGATGTTCTCATCCGTGTCTGGCAAAGAGATGCGCCACGCTGCTGATGCGGCGTACTGGAAGAGCAATATGAGCTCTGCGGTACGATTTGAACAAGCTACCAAGACCATGCTCGCGGATGACAACCGTCCGGACTTCCTCATCGAGATCGGCCCTAGCGGTGCGCTTTCAGGTCCTGTGGCCCAGGTGAAAAAGGCTGTCCTCGGAGATGGCGCCGAAGTCCAGTATATTGCGGCCTGGTCTCGTGGCCCCGCCGCGCTCAAGTCGCTCTACGAGGTGGCCGGCAAGCTCTTCATCAGCGGCGGAGAGGTCAACTTAGCCAACGTGAACAAGACTGAGACTTGGAAACCGAGAACCATTATCGACCTGCCCAACTACTCATGGGACCACTCTACGCAGTACTGGTACGAAAGCGACGCTAGCAAGGACTGGCGATACCGTCTTTTCCCGCACCATGACCTCTTGGGCAGCAAGATCCTGGGTACTTCCTGGCAGGCGCCGTCTTTCAAGAAGTCTCTCAAGCTGGCAGACCTGCCTTGGCTTCGGGACCACAAGATGGGCCCGGAGATTGTCTTCCCCGCGGCTGGCTTCATCGCCATGGCTATGGAGGCTATCCGCCAGAACACCGAAGCGCTGCGTACTTTGGAGACTAAGGTTCTCCCTACAGCATACCATTACAAGCTTCGAGACATCAATTTCATCCGCGCCCTTGTGCTGGACGACTCAGACGAAGCTACCAAGGTCATGCTCGCACTTCACCCGCGCACGGGAGCCAAAGATTCCTGGTACGAATTCAAAATCAGCTCTCAGGTAGGGGACGCCTGGCTCGAGAACTGCCGTGGCCTAGTCAGAATCCAGGAGAGCACCCCCGAAAATTTGACTGCAGCCGAGGGCACTGTCAAGCCGTTGGTAGACCCCGTCCCCGGCGCTCTATGGTACAAGGCCATGCACGATACAGGCTACAACTTTGGTCCGGTTTTCCAGAAACATCTTGAGATCGAGTCCATCGCCGGTTCGCGCGAGTCTCGGTCTCTCGTGGATTTGAGTCCTCCCGCCTCGGAGCACCCGCAGTCGTGGTATCCGATGCACCCCGCCGCCATTGATGGATCATTCCAGTCTTGTGCCCCTTCTCTGTGGGCCGGTGATAGGCCCGGGATCAGTGCCGTATTGGTCCCTGCCATCATTGATGAGCTGACCATTTTCCCAGCGGAGAGCGTTTCTGAAAAAGGTATCTCCACGACGAGCTCTGAGTACGTAGGCCTTGGCCTGCCCGAAAGTACCAAGAGTTACAAGTCCAACGCAGTCGTTCTTGACTCTGAGACTGGAGATTTGCGTTTCAAGCTCACTGGCCTAAGA